TATATATACCAATAGTCAGTATATCACCTAGGCTTGGATTGAAGTAATATTTCCACTTATAATGCAAGTATCTTTGTAAGAGAAAATTGATTTGTCTTCTTTATTATTTTAGAGCGGGATCAACTGCAGTGTGTGTGCATGTGCTGTGTGTGACTATGTACAGGAAGCGCTAAATGAATGATGGGGAGATAACAAACGGAATCCATTAAAACAGGCCAATAATATCCATTTGTCTTGCCCTCCAGCGGTTGGTGGAAGCAGCAGAGGAAGCCCACCTGAATCATGAGGAGGATCCTGAACTACAGGTGAGAAACAGCGGGGGTTACCATGGAAACTGCATCTCTTCACCAGGGCAATGGCACTTAATGAGTGATGTTCAGCCGTAACTGATTGCTATTAAAAATTCTGTGGAGCTTACCATCAATTATATGACCTTACCTCAATCACACATAGGAATATTAAATATAAATAATTGGCACTTAATGAGTGATGTTCAGCCGTAACTGATTGCTATTAAAACTTCTGTGGAGCTTACCATCAATTATATGACCTTACCTCAATCACACATAGGAATATTAAATATAAATAATGTATGTGTGTGCATAAATTACACAGTAATCAAATTCTTTGTACAAAGCAATATACATGAAGCATATGTACTTCTATTTAGAACTTGAATTGTTTGTCATTAGATTCTCTGAATGCACTGCACTAGAGCATCCATTACTTAGACAATCTCTGTCACTGCTCATATAAAGGTTGAAGGTTAATCTACTGTAAAAAGCCATTTATTTTTTCTCACATGGAAAGCCGCGGGTTTCCCATAGAAATACAAGGAGCTTGAGCAGTCGGTGAGGGTGGAGGAGATTGATGGAATCAAACTGGTGAAGAAACTTGCTGGGGAAATGGAGCAGATGTTCCACAAGAAGGCTGAAGCTATAAAGGTAACTGTCTTTGCATGTTTTAAATAGAGAGTTTTATTGGGTTTATCAGCATAAAGATTGGTGCAGGTTATTCAGGCCAAGAACATTATAGCCAGTTAAAATACAAATGTTTCCAGCAAAATGTAAAATACAGTAAAAACCAAGTAAACAACAACCAAGGTCTCTCTTCCATACAGTTTTCCTCTAAAAAAAAACACTCAAAAAATGTATCTGATATTCTCCACAATACATAGTAACAAACAGCAATATTTACTTACATTTTTTTTTTTATCATCTAGCATGAATCAAAGTCCATCATACACTCAAAACATATCTTACACACACACACACACACAC